TCAAACATTTTCTGTATTATCTGAAATTTTTAGCTTGGTATACATGAATTTCTGTTTTGTAAAGTAAAAGGTATTACTATGGTTTTTGATCTATGTTTTCAGTAACGTCAAAAATATAAAGAAGCTCAACGAACAAGAATTACAAGGGAAGAATAAATCATCCTGGCACGACCAATATAAAGATAGTGCTTGGATTTTTGTCGGTGGCCTTCCATATAATTTAACGGAAGGTGATGTTATTGCCATTTTCTCTCAGTAAGTTAAACAGTGAACAAGTCGTAATTATAATTCTGCACACAACTGGAGATTCATATTAAATATAGAATATTATTACAGATATGGGGAAGTAGTTAATATAAATTTAATCAGAGATAAAGATACTGGAAAGCAAAAGGGTTATGGTTTCTTATGTTATGAAGATCAGAGGAGCACCATACTGGCAGTCGACAATTTCAATGGCGTAAAGGTATATGTTTTAGTGGGATAGCGATATATAATCATCTCATTACAATATATAGTTGTTTCATTTTTACGTGTATAATAAAATTTTTGTATCTACAAATTATGTAATTGTTTAAGATATCTCTAAAGAATATAAAATTATAACTAAATATAAAATTATATTCGAAATATCTATTACAAATCTGTTTTTTTTTTATTACAGATATTAGGTAGAGTAATACGAGTAGATCACGTTGCTAATTACAAAGCACCAAAAGATTCAAAAAATATAGATGAAGAAACAAGAAATTTACGGAAAGAAGGTTGTGCTCCAAAGAAAGGTTGAAGGAGTATATACAAAATATCAATAATTCGAGAAATATTATTTCAATTGTATTATTATGAACAGATTTACATTTAGACTTAATAGAATATATTATTGACTATAAAAGTTATTTACGACTATTTAATTACTGCCAGTTAAGTCTTCAGCGTTACAGTTGAGATTAGAAATATTACCCAACTTTTATCTCATTATTCCTATCATACAGTCTTATTTTCCAATTTAATTTGATTTTCCTCAAGTCTCAAGTGTAGAGAACTAGTCATTAGGAGTTGCAAAGGATTAAAAAGCTCCCCGTTTATGTTAAACAGAATAATATTGTAATATTAATTGTAATCAGGATCAACGAACATGTTAATGAACTATGTTATTACTTCTTGAGGGAATGATATCAAGAGGAACCGAATTCGCTCATCCATTTCTCATATTTTTCTAAATCTTCCTGGGAAACGCTTTTGTTGCATCTCTCAACAGCTTCATCGAAATCAGCAGCGGACACAGGCAAATCCAATTCTTCCTTTGGCAATTGCCTGATTTGATCAGGCCTTAAACCAGCGATTTTCTTTCGCATTAGCATCATGGAAGCATCCCTGTAACAAAGATGGATAAAATAGGTTCGAAACTCGATGTAAACTATATTTTAATAAACTCTACTCACCTACAAACATTCGTAATATCTGCACCAGAATAACCCTCCAGTTTTCTTGCAATGTCTGTAAGGTTTACAGACAAATCTACTTTAACTTCACGAAGGTTTATCCTTAACAATGCTTCTCTGCCTTCATCTGCAATAAACAAAATAAGACATTTTATTATTAAAGATATATCCTGTTGAAGGTTTACAAAGTTTAATAGACTTACGATTCGGCAATGGAATGTAGATACGTTTTTCTAAGCGTCTTCTTAGAGCCTCGTCGATATCCCATGGGAAATTTGTTGCCGCTAGTACCATTACAACTTTACTTGAATCTTCGCTATACAAAACAGGGATCTTTAGTATCCATTTGTATCACAAAAGCAAAAGCATTATACAGTGTTTTACCTATTGGAACTTATTCCATCCATTTGAACAAGAAGTTCAGACTTTACACGACGTGAAGCTTCGTGCTCAGATTCAGATCCTCTTCTGGAGCACAAAGAATCAATTTCGTCGATGAAAATTGTACTGGGCGCATAAAATCTGGCCTATAGTCAAATAACAAAATATATTGGTATTATAAATGGACATTACATTTCTTTCACAATTATAGAAATTATTTTTTTTATTCAATTATGTAGATTGTTTTAATTTTTTTACCATCTCGAATAACAATCGAACAAGTTTCTCCGATTCACCCCTATATTTCGATGTCAATGTAGAGGACGAGACATTGAAGAACGTTGTGCCACACTCAGTTGCAACAGCCTTTGCGAGCATAGTCTTGCCTGTGCCAGGTGGTCCAACCATTAGTACTCCTTTCCAAGGTCGTCTAATCCCCTAAAAATATATATATATATATGTTAATATAAACAAAATTTTATTATAACATACGATTAAAATTAAAAAAGAAGATATACCTTGAAGAAATCAGGCATCCACATTGGAAGCACAACTGCTTCCTCCAGCAATCGCTTTGCCTCGTGTAAATCAGCTATATCGTCCCAACGGATATTTGGATTCTTTTGAACAATATCTCTTTCTAAATATTAACATACACGTTGTTTGCTTTTATATTTTCATCGTTGTATGTTTGTGAATAATGATACTAATGAAAATGACAAAGTAATATCATTACCTAATATTTCTACAAGATCTTTATCATTAGCAGATGGTTCAAATTTACGTTCTTCTAATTCAACATCATCTTTTTCCGTTTCTGACTTATCCTATAAATTATTAGTTATATAATGTTACATAAATTAATATTAGCAATATTACAAACATGAAATATAATCAATAAAGTAAGTAACCTTGCTTGTATCGTCTTTCTTTACAATTTTCTTATCATCCTTTTTACCAGAAGCCTTACTGTCTAGCTTTTTAGCCGTGGCAAGAGATTTTTTAGTATTTGTACGATTCTGCTGTTTCTGTTGCTGAATTTTTTGCTGTCTTGAATTTCTGAAAAAGATGTAATAGTAATTAGATACTTTTCATAATTGTATAACAGTTATATATAGTATCAGTATTAAAAAGAGAAAAGAAAAAACTAAAAATATTTTCTTGAAGAAGAAAGTTTGAATGTATCACAAATTGATAGGTAATAAAGTATTACAAGTTTAAATCAATATTGATACTTTTGTTCTGCTGGAGTTAAGGGAGGCCACACATCAGGATCCCTGGGCTGTGTTTGATTCCAAGAGGAATCTGAATTACTGTAAGCCCAGAGAGCAGGATCTCGTGTTGTTTCCTCGAATGATAAGCAGGATGTTCCTGAAATTTGTGGACTTGTTAAATCAGCTTGATATTATCCTAATTAGTTGTATAAACTCTATCCTAATCGTGCTACCGAGCAGCCTCTCGCCATGTGTGTCCACTTTGAAAAGTTGCAACGTACTGGATGTGGCCTTCACTTTCTCAAACTCTTCGACGATCTGATGCTGCACTACTTGCCACTTTGCCTTGCGAGTCGCGTCCGCTATAGTCGCGAGTAATCTGTGTATCTGCTGCACAACCCCTTGATAGTAGACACCGGACGTGTCATAGTTTCCCATCAATGCCATCTCACGCGCGAGCTTCGTGTTCTCGCAAATTTCATTTATTGACACAGCCATGATTCCGTTGTTCGAGTAGATACAAAATTTATTGGGCTCCTGAAGAAATATCACGGTGACAGCGCAATCCCTCTGACTCTATCGTACTTCTCGTAATGGCGAAAATTCGTTTAACACCTCGGTGTACATTTTTTCGCTGTAGTCGACATATTAAACTACATTTGCGTAACTGAAGATTAATTCTCGTCAAACGATTGCGCTAAGCATAAATTAATCTTGATAATTTATATAACAAATTGATAAATTGCATAATAAAATGATAAATTAATAACAAGTTATATTTAAATATATGCTTTTGCAAAAATTATGAGCTTCCATCAATTTTGCGTCATATTCGTTTAGCATTTTCGTTGTATTACAGAAGTATTTTGTAATATTACAGGAAAAATCACATGAAACCATACTAAAAACTCACTGTCATAAACTGACAAAATTTGATAAACTGAAAACATTCGAAGATTATAGATTTGTTCGCGTCACAAACTCCAACATGCTCCAATAGTCATACCATAGCTCCTACTCACTCTAACAAGTGCGTTGGAGTGAGTAAAGCGGGGAGCACAGCTCTAGCATAACGCATAACACGTAATGCATAAGGAAATGAACCAATCAAAGTCCTTTGTTTCTTTCCTTTCCATGAAATAAAGAACTCTGATTGGTTAAATTTCTTATGCCTTATGTGTTATGCATAAAGTCTTAGTCCGGATCTACAATAGGTGTTTTAAACCTTAAGTCGTAAGAAATTGACCAATCACAGTCGAATTCGAGGAGAATAATCGACTATGATTCGCCCATTTCTTATGGCTTAAGACTTAAAACTCTATTGTAGAGATCCGGGGTTAGAAGTCTCTTTTCACGTATGATTGGCCAGTTTCATAACATCGATGTTGTAACTTCGGCGTAAATGAAGCAGTGTAAACGTAGTCAGTGTCTGACTGTGTCCTTGGTGGAAAGCACCATACTTGTACTACAAAAACACACAAACAAAATAGCACCCTTAGAAATTACCCTTTAGAAAAAAAAACGATGTTTTTACGAAAAAATCAATTTGAAATAGTTTCAAAGATGGTTTCTAGACGATATTTTGCTAACATTGGTAAGAAATCGTTTGAGGTTATTTCAAATTGATCTATTTGTTAAAAAAATTATTTCTTTTTTACTAAAAGAGGAATTTCTAACAATGGGTGCGTTCAGCAGAACGTTTGTTTTGCAACTGTTGTAAGTTTCCTTCGCGCTAATTGGATCATACTTTTAGATCTAGAAGAATGGTCCTATCTCAGCAGACAATCATAAAACGGTTGCAAAACTGTTGAGTCTGCTAAACGCAGCCATTTTTTCGTATATATCGATAAGCGTATCGTCCATTCCTAAATCGATTCTCAAGAATCGATTCAATTGTCAAAAAACAGCATCTAGTTGGCGCTCCGATCACCGACGCTTTCTTTTCAATTTTGTTTCGCTTGGATATCGCATTCCACGCGTTATTTCCATTTCATTCGAGAGCGGAATCAGACGTGGATCACAAACGGCTCGAATAGTACATCGAATTGATCGTGGTGTTTTCGAAAAATCAGTTTTCTGATTAGCGAAGGTAAAGCATTTGTAGTGATTAGAAAATATTATTTATATTTTACGGTGCAATCTTTTATTTGTTCAATTAAATATTTGTTCGATAGCCATAACTTCTTTATCTCATATACCACGTGGATTCGAAACCGTTGGAAAGCGTTCGTTGCAAGCCAATGTGACCCTTGTACCTTTTCAGTTATTTGTATTATTTTTTTATATAAGATAACATTTGTTGTCCGTTATTAATGATATATTTTAATATTCGTTAAATATTTTAATTTAAAAAACGTGATAACTTACTAAATTGATAATCGTGAAACTTTCAGTCACTGCTTTCCATTTGATGACACAAATCGACACAAGTCGACACAAGCGTCGTTCTCCTTGAGATTCAGAGAGTGGCAAAGATAGAAAGACACTTGTGCCGAGTTGTGTCGACTGTGTCTCCTAAAAGGAAAAAAAAGCAGCCAGTATCGATTACGGAAAGAATCCAAGTATCTTTAATATTTATACATCTTGAGTATTTTTTTCCATGCAAATGAGTGCAAAAGTGGCCGATTCCATACGAATTTGTATGTAAATTTGTGACGCAATATTTTCTGGCGGCAATTATACTATTGATAGATTTAATTTGAAGTTTCAACTCGAATCTGTTTTGTTTTTGATGGAATTAAGCCTGATCTACAATGTGCTCGACAATTGTTTCCCGATTCTTGCTTTTTACCTCTTTTTTTTTTTCCCTCTGTAATCGTTTTATCAATAATTTTATTTTTTGCCACGTGTTTCTTGTTTTTTCCAAAGTTCGTTAATTTTTATCTCTGGCGGCAGAAAAGGAAAAACGGTATAAGAGGCAAAAGACAAAATGCAAGAAATAGCCGAAAGCAATAAACAGAAAACAAAATACACATTGTAGATCAGGTTTTATGAATAATTAAAATCAAAAGTTCTTTTCATTTAATCGCGATAACTCTGTAACAAAATTTAGGATTTATATTTTAAAAACGATTTCGTAGGAAAAACCTTAAGTTTTCATGTTAGAAAGTAAAAAATGTTGGCAAATTTTTTGGCCGGGTGAAGCCCACAAACTAGAAAAAAATCGCCATTTTGTCTAATTCGTAGTTTTCTATAACCGGTATTCATAGTCCGTTCTTATTTCAAAATCGTCTTAAGTAATGTCTTAAGATGTTAATATGACTCTCTAATTGGTTCGTGACTTCTTAAGACTGTATTTAAGACGGTCTTAAATATAACACGCATTCTACAATAAGCTATTAGTCATAAATCAGAAGTTAGAAGCTGGAAATTGACCAATTACAGTCGTCAATTTCCAGCTTCTAACTTTTGATTTATGACTAATGGCTTATTGTAGAATAAAGCTGATTGTACAATGAATTGGTAGTCGGAAATCTTAAGTCTTAACCAGTTTTAACCTAAATAGGTGACTATGATTTTTCGCATCTACTAGTTAGTTGTACAGCGAGTCGTTTAACTCGACTAGTAGGAAGGAATAAAGTCGAATTTGGTGTCTTAAGAAAATCGGTAGTTTTATGGGTCAATTCTAAGCAGAATCGTAAGACTCGTAATGTGTTCTCGTAAAACTTGTAAGAACTTATGACTAGTATTCTAATTTTATGCGTATGTATCGTAAGACGTACGATTATTCGTAAATATCTACGATTTCTTGTAAATTTTATGGCTAGTAAGAAGCTGTCTGAAAAAATATTGTATAAAGGTGTAAGCACTTAAAAAACACTGTAAGACTTCTTACAAGTCTTACAGGAACATGTTACGAGCCTTACGATTCTGCTTAGAATTTAGGCATTAGTCGCACAAGTCGGCTGTTGAGCATCTTCACCGATAAGACTTCGGACTACCGACTCATTGTAGAATCAGCTTAAGATTTGACTATGAAAAGACCGACCTATATGTAATATTTACCAAACTCACAGAGACTCAAAAACCAGTGATCTTTCGAAAGTACAGATTTTAAGCTTTAAGAACCCGTTTTTATTTAAATTTCGTTTATTTTTAACGAAATTTTAGCTGCTTGAATTTTTAATAATAAATTAGGCATGAATTTTTGACTCACCCAACAATACTTCATTTAATCTCTACCTTTTTATCTTTTGCTCTTTATTTTTTTCTTTATCTTTCTCTTTATCTTTCTCTTTTTCTTTATCTTTCTCTTTTTCTTTTTATCTTTCTCTTTATCTTAGACCTATGCACAAGTTTTCTTACAATCATATCTTTTTCTTGTAGAAAGAAAAATATTATAGAAAGAAAAATGGGTAAGGCAAAAGCATTGAAGCATAATGCAAATAAAGGAAAACAGCAGTTGCATGAAATAAAAGGTGGTTCTATAAAAAAGAACAAAGATTCCAAACTCAAAAATACATCCAAAGGTAAGGTAACTTTAATCAATAATTCAAAGGAAATTCTTCGAAAGCCTTCCCCAAAAGTCTCCTTTGCAAATAAACCTTCAGGTCAAAAGCATACTCCAAATAAAAACAAGGTTCCAAAGAAATATCAAAAGCCTTCTCCAAATAGTAATGCAGCAAAGCAATCAAAGCAAGATTCTCCAAACAAAAAACGAAATTTAAAGCAAAGCACGAATTCAAGCAAAGCACAAAAAATTGGTAAGAAGACTTTCAACTCTAGAAAGACAGAAAAGCAATTGGATAAGTCTAATTCTAACATCACTGAAAGTGATGATAGTTCATTTAAATCAGATGAAACATTTGAAACCGATTCAGATGTCCCAGATATTTTTGACAAGAGCTTAGCAGAATCAGACGATGACGATGAAGATTATGAAAAGGGTGAGGAAGAAGAAGACATGGATGATGATGATGATGATGATGGTGATGAGGATGATGATAATGATAATGATGAAGATGATGATGATAATGATGATGATGATGACTCTGATGAAGAAGAGACAACAGTTGATGACAATAGTGATGAAGAAGAGATGAGTGAGCGTAAAGGTGTAAAAATGTTTAAAGGTTTACAATCTAAAACCAAGAAAAATAAGAAAGTTCAGAAGAGAGATGATGACACCGATGATGACGAAGTCGAAAGCGATGAGAGTACAACTGAGAATACAACTGAGAATACAACTGATGAATATGATACAGATGAAGATGAAGAGATAAGAAGAGATAAGGGAGAGAAAAAGAAAGATAACATTAAAAAATCTAAGTTTAAGATTGTTAAACAATACGTTGAAATAGATCCTAAAGTAAAGGAAAATTCCAATTTAGATTATAATACTTCTGATGATACTAATGACGATAGCGATGATGAGGATGCAGAATTAGGTACAAAAGCACTTTTGGGGAAAAGTATTGCAGACGACGATGATGATGAAGATTTTAATGCAGAAGATGAAGATAGTAATAGTGATGAAGACGATATTACTAGTGAAGAAGAGTCTGAGAGTGATAATGCAATAAGGAAAGCCAATGAAGAATTCAATAACTGTATTATAGGAAAATATAACATAACAAAAACAGAGAGAGACAACCTAGCAAGAAGAATTATTCTCATTGATAATATTCCAAAACCAACGCCAAGTTACGAGATTGCAGAAATGTGTGCTGAATTTGGAAAGTACGAGATATTTGAAGCGAGACCTTATCCAGCATTCTTCACTGATTTAAAAATGCAGCCACTAGAGCCTCTGGATTGGCTAAATCGGGATTATCCAGATCTAGAAACATTCTCAGTAAATGTTCTATATAAAAGCAGACAAGACGCTTTAAAAGCAATGAAGCATATGCATGGAATGATGTTTGCTAGAAATTATTTAAATGTGATAACTGCTGATCTAACTGAACAAGAGCCTGACCATGCTGTATATGTAACAAATATAAGAAAAAGTATGTATAATAAATCATTGTTGATCAATTGTCGCAATTATTTAGCATGGAGAATAATAATGGAATGATGTTTTTTTAATATTTCAGCAATGCCTGACAACGATCTCTGGGAAATGTTTAAGCAATGTGGAAGCATAGTACGTATACGAAACGTACGTGATCCAATATCGGGGCTAAATAAAGGTTTTGGTTATGTCTCCTTTAATAATGAGGCGGCTGTAAAGTATGCTCTTACATTAGACGGTGTAAAACTTAATGGACGGCGAATAAAAGTGCTGCCATATCCTTATCGTCGAAATCTATCTCTTAACAATTTGACAGAAGAAATAAAGCGAAGGAATCAAGGAATAAAACGAATTCTTTCGCTTGGAGATATTCTATCATCAAAAAAATTTAAAAAGAATTCAGGAGAACCTGCAGCACGTAATGTAAATATTTTAACTATTCGTAAATACGTTTATTGTAAATTTTTTGTTAATATAGTAAATGCAGATTTTGTTTAAATAAAGAATTACATTTCTTAAAAATAAAGATAGAATTAATATTGCGATTTCTTCTCTTCTTTTTGTAGGTTGAACCTGAAAGAAACATTAAGAAACATAAAAAGCAAGAGGAAGATAAAAAAAAGTCTACTGCATTTCAAGGTCAAATGGTCGATTTAAAAAATAAAAGGAAGAAAAACAAACTTGATAAGAAAAAGAAGAAAATGGCAGAAAAGCTTACAGCTAAATCAATTAAAAAAAATTAATGTACTTGATGAATTCTTAACTTATTTTTACGTAATATTTTTTTATAATCGAAGATTTTTCAAGCGTTCATTTAATTTTAAAAGAAATGTTGGCACTAATGAAGGATCCTATATTCTGTAGAAATTTAATATTGTCATGTATTTTAGGAATTGTTAGACAATTATCATGTAAAATTCTTTCAAAAACATTTTTGCATGTTCGTTTAATATTGTAGAAAAAAAATAGATATTGACAATGTTACAAGAGACACTACAGTTCTCATTAAAACTGTGATCACACATAGGTGTAAACGAGAATACCTCCAATATATTATATCTCCTCCTATACTGTTATAATGTAACTGCCACTGCTTTTTAATAAATGTTTTTAACAAGAAATTACATTGTTTTTAAGAATCTGCTTGTTTTGTTAAGTTCCTGATTTTACCATGTAACTGGGATGGTAAATGCTGCACGTTACTGGACGCACACTTTGAACAGAAACGTCTCTTGTAAAATATGCTGCATCCTAGGCATACCGCATGTTCGCACACGCTGCAATTGGCGCCCAAGACCAAGACTTCGCCCTTGTTTGGCAAACTGAATGGATCTTTCATAATATAACACTCTTCTGAATAAACGAATTGCCGAGCGAACGGTGGCCTTGTGCCTTTATAATCGTAGCGTTCCTTTAAAAGACAAAAAGAGCATGTGAAAGTGCCGCCCATGTTCATTGCCGTCTGTTGACTCGTAGAAGCATCCTGCTGCGTCTGCTTACTGATACTAGGTTCGCCTGCTGACGTATCGGCGAGATCCTCCTTCCTATAAAGCAACAAGGAACAGAAGCCACTCAATGTGTTATCGAGTTTGGGTATAAATTTATTTTATATGTATAAATATATTATAATTTTACATGCGCCACGCATACATATACATTTATTTCCTACATAAGTTTGCAATATTTAAAAACATCCTAATGTTACTTTGTATCTTTGGCAAAAGCCATTTCTTTTTGTGATTCTTGAGGCCACCATGCAGGTTTTACTACCCTTACATTTATACCAGATACATTAAGCTGTCGGGCACTAAGAGATTCATTTATACGCATCAAGCCTAATCCGTACTTAGCGATACATCCTCGGAACTTTCCTACCGCATTGCCAGATTCGTTGAGAATTTTTTCATCATACGTAAACGGTTTATCTATAACATTATCAAACAACAAAGGCATCAGACGTTTCCTGACTACCCCCGTGTGATATGTACGCGCGGTTAATTCCTGGCCGATGTAGCAGCCCTTGTGAAAACTAACGCCATGTAAATAATCGCAATTGATCTCTAAAGGCAATGCTTTCCCAGGTGGTAGATCATGCATGCCTTCTCCTATTCCCAGTTTATATCGAAACGCCTTATAATCTCCAAGACTCTCTGATGGAGGTATATCAGCATCTAGATGTTTAATTATCTCGTTTCTGCCAATCTGTGACTCTGCGAGAATTCTAAGGCCTAGATCAGGTAATCTGGGATCTTCGTATATCATAACGTTGTCGACAAACTTGCTGGTTTTACTGTTAAACGTGCTACATGGAAATATCACTCCTTCTAGCTTGAACTTTCCTGTCTCGTTTGCCGCAGCTCCATTATCGAGATGTTTGGTGGAATTGAACATCGACCAGACATTGAGTTTGTCTCCTACATGTTCTATATCTATCTTTCGTCTCACGCGATACATCTTCAGGTGTCTCTGCAAGGAATCGACAGTCTGCGAATCACATTCTACATAGTACAAGTTGCTTTCCTCACTCTTGTATACGATAGCATCGCACATCACTCTGCCTCGAATATTCAGGAACAAAGTGTAGATGCTAGGTGCCCCTTCGTCGAGGTGCTTCATATCGTTCGTAATCAATCCCTGGAGGAAGGTAGAGGCTTCGTTACCTCTTACGCGCAGTATGCTCCTGTCAATCAAGCGTTCCAAGGTCTTGCTATCGACTTGGGTCGAACTATGTCTAACTGTGTCTAATTGCTGGTGGCTACTGATCCTTTTATTTCGCTTGCACATGTGGAGAACGGAGCGACTAATGCGATCAATCATCATAGCGAACGTCATGTGGATTCAAACGGTCTTTTATTTCTACGAAAAATAAACACGCAAGTACACTAACCTAGAACCGGCATTTTGGATGATTCTGCCTAACCTCCGAATATCTTATATTTAATTATTTCTATACGCGGCATAGCGTAATATTGTATATGAGATATATTAATCTTACATTTGTGTAGTGATTCAATTATGTTTCAATCAGTTCTCTCTCTCTAATTATATGATCCGGTATTTGAAAGAAGCCCAATCATCCGCGCCTCGAAATCAGATGATCACGAGTCCTAGCTGCACTTTGTTGCACTTGTTACATTTTCTGTACCCAAAATGAAATAAATATTAAAATATAGAATTGAAACATTGAAAAAAAATGAAAGAGAAGTAATAATAAAATAAAATCTAACAAAATATTTAGATAGACAAGATGCTGTTCAATGTTTTTCGTTATCTAGATAAAATTATCTAGATAATTATATAGATGAAGAAATGGCTTTATCTTATCTTTATCTTATCTTAGATAAAATATTTTTTAAATTAACTAAGATTGTAGAAGAGTATTGTAAAAAAGTTTCTATATAACTTCTAGTAGTAACAATGATGAGAATTTTTTTATGATATAGATAAAACTGGGATTAGTATGACATCAGTCATAATTCAAAGCGTTGAAGTACTTTCATATTTAGAAGATAAATCTAAGGAACTAGATATTCTTAATTTGTATCCGCATGTCAAACAAATTTTTTAAATATAACACATTATTGCCATTATCAGCGCCAGTAGAGCGCCTTTTTATTTGTGGACAACAAATATTAATTCCACGTAGAAACAGTTTGTTAGACGAAATGTTCTAAACATTTTTATTCGTAAAAAATAAAGATTAATGAAAATATACATTTTTTGTATCCAAATACCCTGCAATTTCTTCACTTCCAGATAAGTTGCGAATATTCTTATCCAAGAGATATCTCCATTGTATTCTGGGAGATATCTCTTAGATATAATAAAGTTATTTAGAGGTGAAGAAATTAGGCATAAATCGTTTTACTGCCTAATAGTTAAAAACAAAATTATCTTAAAAATTATCTAGATAAAATTTTTTTAATTTCATCTTTTATCTAGATTAATGTAAAGTTCATCTTCATCTTATCTATATTTTTGTGTGATTTATCTTATCTATATCTAGATAATTTTTAATTATCTAAGCGCAACACTGATGCCCTTTAATGAATCGCGCGATAATATTCTGACACGAAAAAAATTAACTGTATTCGATAGTTATAAAAACGGTAATATTGGCATTTTATTTACTCCCCTGAGATATCACTTTATGGGCATGAAAATTTATATTGATATTATAATTAGGAATCAATATATAGATTATTTAAGGATATATGTCACATATCTAAAAACAATGTTAAAGAAAAAATGTTAATTTAAAGAAAAGGAGATTGTGAAATAGGCAGAGGTGATATGGAAGGCCCTAATTATTATGCAGGTTGATCCGACATGCTTCGTCGGAATTTCAACAGTGTTTCTGTGATGCATTTCATTTTATTTACTTTCTTCGTTTCTTAACAAAACGATGGTGATCACAATTATGATATAGATATCAGTCGTTCGCACTTAACAAGGCGATCGGAACTGTTTGTTTTTGCATTAATTTTTCGTCACCATTAATCTTATAATTCATTCTCTGCTTATTCTTTATATAATTGTTCCATATTAAATGACGTAGGTGACATAACATTTCGCAAAGTGATATATACAAGATTATTGGTAGAAAATTTTTTTTGCAAATTTTTTCTAAAAGTAGCAAAAAACTGTGTCCTTTAGATCGAGACTTATTTCCTAACTAAAGTTCAATGTCAATTTAAATTATTCTTTATTTAACGTACACATTTCTGTCAATTACGACAAAAACGAGTTGGTCCTTAAAATCGAGTTTTTACAGTCATAATTAAACAAATGTATCTAATATAAAGGAATTCAAGTTGTAATTATACAAAATAGCTAAAAAGGAATTATAATTCACAATATGTGCAAAGATTAACATCATGATCTTTTATATTGTATATAAATAATTGTAACATCGACAAAAGTAATCAGACTGATATATCTGAATAAATCAATCAGTGCTAAGAGAACATCTAAAAAAAATTAAAAAATTTGACGTATATAAGCTGTTTTAACATGAATTCTGAAGCGTCATATATGATTCTAGAGATGAGTACAGTAAATGTGATCCTAACAGTTAATAGAGCTACTATCGTGGAACTTTCAGCGAACCAAATGATTTTTTTATCGAGATATAGCATAATTTTAAAATAATATATACGCAGTAATTGTGCTAATCGATACATCAGTCTTCGCACACGTTCATCACTGGAATCTCGATTAGGAGCAATATTTCGTATATTCAAGTTGATACTGGCTGATACTAAATACTAATAATCGATTTGGAGAACCATTCACGACCGTCTACAAATTTCATAGAGCAGCGGTTTTCAAATTTTCAACACGAATAAAACTTACGTAAATGTTGTTAGTAACGCAGCACGTAAGAAATAAATCATTTTTACTGCATTATATATATATATATATATATACACACATACATATATATATATAAAGTATTTAAAAAAGAAGAAAATATAAATCCAATATTATAATATAAATTACGCAATTTTCCAGGATTATTTCTCAGACTTGGTTCTTTTATTTTATTTTTTTTCACGCTATATCTCGTATAATAATGCGAATCTTTTTCTATCGTTTAAAATAAAATTAACTGTAATTTAAGCACCACTACAATAGGATGATTTCAAATACAACGTCGTGCAAGATTTATTCTCGTATATGTTACATCGCCGTTAAAAAGCGCACCGTCGTCGTCGAACACCGTCAAACAGCGTCATCCACC